CCAAAGACACAGATGTAGTGAAAAGAAAGGCCATCTGCACCCCAATGTTCATAGAAGCAATGTCCGCAATAGCCAAAGTGTGGAAAGAGCCGATGTGCCCTTCAACAGATGAATGGATAAAGAAGATGTGGTCCATATATACAATGGAATATTACTCAGCCATCAGAAAAGATGAATACCCAACTTTTACATCAACATGGGTGGGACTGGAGGAGATTATGCTAAGTGAAATAAGCAGAGAAAGTCAATTATCATATGGTTTCATTTATTTGTGGAACATAAGGAATAGCATGGAGGACATTAGGAGAAGGAAGGGAAAAATGAAGGGTGGGGAAATCAGAGGGAGAGATGAACCATGAGAGACTATGGACTCTGAGAAACAAACAGGGTTTTTAGGGGAGGGGGGAGGGGGGATTGGTTAGCCCGGTGATGGGGATTAAGGAGGGCACGTACTGCATGGAGCACTGGGTGTTATACGAAAACAATGGATCGTGGATCACCACATCAAAAACCAATGATGTATTGTATGGTCACTAACATAACATAATAAAATTTAGAAAAAAAAAAGTATAATGGCTTCTTTTTGAAGACATTTGTAACTTTCCTAAACATAAGAGCAAGGATATATGGATATCTCCAGTCCAAGATGGCAACATAGGAAGACCCTGAACTTACCCCCATGGAACACAGCAGTTAATACCTATTTATGGAACAGTTCGTCCTGAAGAACTGAGGGTTGACTGAACAGCTTCTGCAAGGCCAGAGATAGAACAGCAAGAACAACTGAAACACAGTAACAGAAGGAACCCCCCGACCCCGACAATGCCAACAGCAGTGGGGAGGGGGAGTACTGAGGGACGGGAACAGGTCTCTCTGTCCTTGGACAGAGAAAGCCTCAGTGTAGAAGAGCAACTAGCATATAAAAGAGACAACACTGGAACCCCGTCAAACTGCACTGGAGCTGAGGGCTTACTCTCTGGGTCAGAGGGACTGGAGAACAACACGGTTTATGTTCCCACTCCACCTTAAAAGCCTACACCCCAGCAGAATCTGGACACCAGCGATTCTGGTCATCACAGTGAACTGGCGACCTCAGTGAGACCAGGGTCCACAAGCCCACACCTTGTGGGCGGTGGTGCTGGGGCATAGAAAATAAGCTGTGTTTTT